TTTTTTTTCCCCTTCCCTTCCCCCATGGTCTTCTGTTAAGTTTCATCTTTTTTTCTTTTTGATAATTAAACTTTGCAGTTTTAATTCAGCCAAACAAATGATTCAGAGTTTGGCTAATGTCATCAGGATTTTTGTTAAGGATATTTGTATTTCTCTGCAGTATGTTGTAATTCTCAAATTTATTCATTCATCGAATCTTAGCAAATACCTACAATATAGTAGTGAACTAGACAGCAGGCCTCTGTTTCTAAGGAGCCGACCTTCTGTTAGCCTTTCATTTTTGACAAACATTCTACTGAGCACGTCTCTGTATCAAACTATGAGCCACATTCCGGGGGTACAAAAATGGAAGGGAAAGGATACATATTGTGATGCTGGGGGGGCGGGGGTGGCCAGTGCTGACTCGGTGGGACCAATAATAGACCTGAGCTCAAGGTCGTTAATTTATGACAGAATTTTTTTTTTTTTTTGCAGAAACACTTTTAAGTAATGGATCGGCCCCCAGAAATGTGAATGTGGAAGAACATTATATTTTCAGATGGAATAATAATACAATCAGTGAAATAAATGTCAAAATTATTAGGGTAGCAATTAATGCTCACCAGAAAGGTAAATCTGTTCAGAGCAGTGAATGTTTTCAGTTGAAAACTTTTTTTTTAAGATTCTCATAATTATTGGGGCGCCTGGGTGGCGCAGTCGGTTAAGCGTCCGACTTCAGCCAGGTCACGATCTCGCAGTCCGTGAGTTCGAGCCCCGCGTCAGGCTCTGGGCTGATGGCTCAGAGCCTGGAGCCTGTTTCCGATTCTGTGTCTCCCTCTCTCTCTGCCCCTCCCCCGTTCATGCTCTGTCTCTCTCTGTCCCAAAAATAAATAAATGTTGAAAAAAAATTAAAAAAAAAAAAAGATTCTCATAATTATTCTGTGTAAAACTAAGTCAGACTTTTTTCTTATTTGTAATTGTGATTTAATAAAAAAGGCTTTTTTTTGCATGTCAAAATGTAATTATAAGATAAAGAAAATGACACTATGGGGGATAATTTCTTTCCCTAGTAAAATGGTACACACTATATTTTGTCTTGTGTTTTATTTCTAGGGATCATGACACAGAGATTTACAGTAAAATTTTTAAGCTATAATAGTGGTGATGAAAAGGAATTTTCTGGAAATCCAGGTAAGATAGTGTATGTCAATCACTGATCCTACAAACATATTTTAATTGAATACTCCTGTACCACAGTGATGATTATAAGTAACTCTCTCCAATTGTAGTTTGTGATTCTAGCCTGTCTCTTTCTCTTTTGTGACACTGTATTCTTTTTCTGATAACAGCTTGGTTTTTTTTTGTTGTTGTTGTTTGTATAATGCCTTTGAAGTGTTGGTAAAATTAGCTTTTTAAGAAATAAGAAGCTATAGATGGAGACGCGATGGAGTCCATGGAGAGACTTCATGGGGACTGTGAAGTTCCAGGCATGTGCATTTTGTCATTATGTGCAAATATGGCATCACTTGGTTCGTTATATATTTGTTTGCTTCTTTAATTCACTGTTGCCTCCTTAGCGCTTAAAAACAGTAAGGAGAGGGGCACCCAGATGGCTCAGTCGCTTAAGCGTCCGACGTTAACTCAGGTCATGATCTCACGGTTTGTGGGTTTGAGCCCCTCATCGGGCTCTGTGCTGACAGCTCAGAGCCTGGAACCTGCTTCGGATTCTGTGTCTCCCTCTCTCTCTGCCCCTCCCCTGCTCATGCTCTGTCTCTCTCTGCCTCTCTCAAAAATAAATAAACATAAAAAACTTAAAACAGTAAGGAGAACTGCAGGTCCAATGTATCAGCTGTTAGTCACGCCCACCTGCTAGGCACTTGCAATGTGGCCAGCAGCATATGTGGACATGATAATATTTGGATATATTGAGTTGAATAAAATACATTCTTCAAATTAATTTCATCCCCTTTTTCTGTCTTTTTTTTAATGGGGCTACTAGAAAAAAATTTTTAATGTCTAAAAAATTCTAAAAATATGTCATATTTAAAAATCACATATGTGGCTTGCATTGCACTTTTATTGAACAGCACTGACTTGAACCATAGTAGGTGTTCAGTAAATATATGTTGGATGGATAAACTATCATTGTTTTTAAAAAATTTGTCCCTCCTTTTACTATTCTTAATCAGGCAGTAAGTAACCATGAAGGAACAACTTTTTTTACTTTTATTTATTGGTTATTTTTATGTATGTATGTATGTATGTTTATTTTTGAGATCAGGGGTGGGGCAGAGAGAGGGGGACAGAGGATCTGAAGCAGACTCTGTGCTGACAGCAGAGAGCCTGACGTGGGGATCGAACTCTTGAATTGTGAGATCATGACCTGAGCCGAAGTTGGACACTTAAGCGACTCGCAGACTCCCCTATTTATTTTCAAAACTTTTTTACTTTTAAATAACTTTTTAGTTTGCATGATTTTCAATATTTGTACATATTGATTTAATAATAATGCCTGATCTATTTTACATATATATTTTTAAAAATTTATTTATTTATTTTGAGGGAAAGAGAAAGCATGTGAG